CGGACAGAACGTGTTGATTACTGAAAGCACATGATACGGCCCGAGGCCACCCGAGGACACGTTGATAATCGTTGGCGACGGCTGGGGCCATGACATCGACAATACTTCACTTTCTCCGACAAAACTAATCTTATTAAACATCAAATAGGCTGAGCTAGACAATTAAACATTAACAGTTCGGAAGTTGTCGGGAAAAATTAAAGATTGATCGGATATGATCCTACTTAACATGATCGGACTAGGCACGATTTTATTTGAAGTTCTCGACAATAATCCGAACACTTATCTCTGAAACAACCTTACTAACATGATTCTTACAAGAAAAGAACCTTACCTCTCGGAACGTTTGACGGAATACGGAAAATAGGCGTGGCCTCCTTCCTCGCGTGTACTCCGTGCGGTGTCCTTATTTGCCGTGCGATTGATAGTAAATATTGAGGGAAAATTTGCTTGAACTTAATTGCTGATTAAAGGAGACTAAGAGGTACTGAAGGTATAGGTTCGGTTCTTAAGGAAAAGTGACGAAAATTAATTTAAGGTCACCTTTATATACTTGGTCGTGGGAGTTGATGGCCACCTAGGCTCGACTTGAGCTAATGACACTTGCCTTCTTCTCCTAACTCATTAGATGACTAAGCATCTCTTTTGCTTGACAAGTGATCACTTTTGATTGGTTGAAATACCTTTCCCTTAGCTTAAGGATAGTCACGGCTTTACTCAAATTTTTTGGGAAAATATGCCCAACACTCCACGGCATTTAAGGCTTAATTACATGATTAATTCCATAATTAATCACTACTTATGTTTAATTATTTAATTAAACATAATGCTTAATTACCAAAATTATTTCGAACGTAAACGGTACGTCGAAAATAGATTTCGGTAATTCTGACTGAAAATAATTAATTCCGAAAATAATAAACGATAACATTATTATATCGGAATTAAACGTAATTCATACCGATTAAAATATCGTGATATTACAATCCTCCCTCCTTACAAAATTTCCGTCCTCGGAAATTCAAAACATGACTGCTATACATGAACTATGTACATAAGATAAGGAAATATGTACATCAAAACTGGAAATCTGGAAAACGAGCGCGAATGTCAGACTCTTCCTCCCAAGTAGCTCCGTGACGATCCCAATGAATGCGCACGAGGGGGATATCTCGCTTCCGGAGCCGACGAACCTGACGGTCTAGTACAGCTACCGGTCGCTCCTCGTACGACAGATCTGGCTGAACCTG